CTTCATGCACACTACCCCCTTTACCCCATCCATCCAGCCTTCACGAGACGACCCCACCCCACCTTTCATCCACTTCAAACTTGTACACCCTCTAAGTCATAGTTTGTTCCACCCTCCTGAATGTCCAAACCACTTCATCCCTCCTCAGCTCTGTGTATAAGACTTTAGTAACTCTCCACTGCCACCTAATCTCCATGCTTCGGATTCTCTGCAAAATATTCACCACACAGACTGGGCCGCCGGGGCGTTGACCCCCGGAACTCTCTCCCAGGTAAACTCCAGGTAAACGCATGTCCTCAGACATACTGTCTCCAGCCTCCTCCTTGCACCATTCACAACCCATGTTTCACACCCATAAAGGGCATAGTTACTGATATACTCATACATTGCCCTCTTTGCTTCCATAGATAACCGTTCCACACTCCTCATTACACCACCCGCCTTTTTCCTCTGTCAACTTTGGGGTTCACCTCATCTTTCATAGACCCATCTGCTGCCAAATCCAATCCCAAATATCAGAACACATTCACTTCCTTCATACTCCCTCCCTCCCTCCACTCTGATATCCAATCTTTCAATACTTGAGGCAATGTTTGTCACTGCACACAATTTTTCTCTGCTGCAGTGTTCACACAGTCTCGCTTCCATAAGAGAAGCTTTGTCACGCCTGTGAAGGTGCTCTTGATCTAAGGATTTGAACTTTACCTCTCTTTTCTTGCATCTAACCTAATTACCTCTCATTGCCCCAGGAGCTGTATGACCCATAGAGGTTTAGCTCTTTCCACCTGGGGATTTGTGCTCTGGTTCCCTGTCCCCTCAAGGAAGGTTCCTTGATGTTGGTGAGGGGCTCTTGATTTAGGGAATTGGATCTGTGCTCCAGTTCCCGAATTAAGCCTGAATGCCTTCCACATCCCCCCCCCAGGCGCTGTATAATCCTCCGGGTTTAGCGCTTCCCCCTTGATTATAATAATAATAATCTGGTTCCCTGAATTGAACCTGAATACCTTCCATCCTCTCACATGCACTATAATCCTACGGGTTTAGCACCCCCCACAATTATAATAATTTTCCCACCTGGAAGACTGTAGAGCCAGTACACCAGTAGTAGTCCATGTCCTGTGGCAGAAAGTTGGTAAGGGAGGTCAAGTCATAGTGAGCGAGACACGCCAACCTCGCTGCCAGACCTGTCGTGTACACGTCTTCCAGGTACAAGAACCTACAATTAAATAGTTTAGCGCTTCCCCCTTGATTGTAATAATAATAATAATAATACAATTAAATATTAAAACATGAAATTATTATATTGGACCCCTCAAGGGAGGTTCCTTGACGCTGGCGAGGGGCTCTTGATCTAGGGAATTTGATCTGTGCTCCAGTTCCTTGAATTGAGCCTGAATACCTTCCATTCTCCCCTACATGCGCTGTATAATCCTACGGGTTCAGCGCTCCCCCATGATTATAATATATTTGAAACTACAATTGCCTTGCATTCATGGGGAAGTGCTAAGCCCGTAGGGATTACACAGAGCTTTTGGGAAATTGGAGATGCTAAAGTACTAACTACAGGACAGATCCAATTCCTTGGCTCAAGAGTCCTCACCGGCATCAAGGCACTCCTGGACGGGTGAACAGTGGCAGTCATGCCGGCGAGGAGCTTTTGAGTCAAGGAAATGGATGTACCCACCCCTTGGATCGAACCTGAGCTCCCCTCATTGTGGCTTAGCGCTTCTTTTTGATAATAATAATAATCCCCTCATTCCACAAATGTAATGTGACCCCTACGGGTTGAGAACTTCCCAAAAATAACAGTTAAGTTTAACACAGCAAAACACTCACTTTGTTCTTCTGATGGCCTGAAGTAAGACAGGGATGACTGTCATCGGCAGCAAGTATGAAGGACCAGCCACGAACGGTGGATATCGCTCGTCCGGATACGTTTCGTTAGACACTGCCCACTTTCCCTCCCGTAAAGCCTCGTCACAACGCCTCACACTGCCCATGATCTCAACAGGATGGGGATGTTGCTGCAGGTATACTATGAGGAAGTCTCGCAGTGCCAAAGGATTAGGAATAACGTCATCGTCTATTTTGAGGATGAAAGGAGTGTTGGGACAGTTTTGGAAGGCCCAGGTGATGAGTGCCGTTGTTTTATAAGTCAGGTTGTTGTAGGTGTCTATAAAGTTTGCTTGTATCACGTCACCATGTCGTTGTGATTCTTTCACCAGCATAGCCTGTTGGAAAATTATATATATATATATATATATCCCATGGTAGTAGGTTGGTAGACAGCAACTACCCAGGGAAGTACTACCGTCCTGCCAGATGACTGTGAAACAGAAACCTGTAACTGTTTTGCATGATGGTAGGATTGCTGGTTTCTTTTTCTGTCTCATAAACACGCTAGATAACAGGGATATCTTGCTACTCCTACTTACACTTTGGTCACACTTCACAGACACGCACATGCATATATATATATACATACATCTAGGTTTTTCTCCTTTTTCTAAATAGCTCTTGTTCCTCTTTATTTCTTCTATTGTCCATGGGGAAGTGGAAAAGAATCTTTCCTCCGTAAGCCATGCGTGTCGTACGAGGCAACTAAAATGCCGGGAGCAATGGGCTAGTAACCCCTTCTCCTGTAGACATTTACTAAAAAAGAGAAGAAAAACTTTATAAAACTGGGATGCTTGAATGTGCGTGGATGTAGTGCGGATGACAAGAAACGGATGATTGCTGATGTTATGAATGAAAAGAAGTTGGATGTCCTGGCCCTAAGCGAAACAAAGCTGAAGGGGGTAGGGGAATTTCGGTGGGGGAAATAAATGGGATTAAATCTGGAGTATCTAAGAGAGTTAGAGCAAAGGAAGGGGTAGCAGTAATGTTGAAGGATCAGTTATGCAAGGAGAAAAGAGAATATGAATGTGTAAATTCAAGAAGTATGTGGATTAAAGTAAAGGTTGGATGCGAAAAGTGGGTCATAATAAGCATGTATGCCCCTCAAGGAAGGTTCCTTGATGTTGGTGAGGGGCTCTTGATTTAGGGAATTGGATCTGTGCTCCAGTTCCCCGAATTAAGCCTGAATGCCTTCCACATCCCCCCCCCAGGCGCTGTATAATCCAACGGGTTTAGCGCTTCCCCTTGATTATAATAATAATAATAAGCGTGTATGCACCTGGAGAAGAGAGGAATGTAGAGGAGAGAGAGATTTTGGGAGATGTTAAGTGAATGTATAGGAGCCTTTGAACCAAGTGAGAGAGTAATTGTGGTAGGGGACCTGAATGCTAAAGTAGGAGAAACTTTTAGAGAGGGTGTGGTAGGTAAGTTTGGGGTGCCAGGTGTAAATGATAATGGGAGCCCTTTGATTGAACTTAGTATAGAAAGGGGTTTAGTTATAGATAATACATATTTTAAGAAAAAGAGGATAAGTATACAAGATATGATGAAATATCCTTATTGGGGTCAATATGCTTAGGCTAGCCCATTCAAACCCCTGCACAGAAGCCCTCCAAACTTTCCTCAGCACTGGTGAACATCCTTCCAGATGGATCGAAAAAACTGGAACCGACCTCCGCATGAACCAGCTACATGATCTATATCAAGTTGGACAACAGAGACATTTCCCTGCTCCATGGGATATTACCCCATTCCAAACTACCATTCCTCCATTTCCCCCCAAAACTCTTCTTAAATCACAACCAAAGCTTCATCTTGAAGCCAAACATGATGCCTTAAGCTGTATTGATAACTTAGTTACACAGAACAATCTTTCACAAATTATTTACGTCGATGGTTCTGTTCACCGTCCACTGGTGCAGCTGGTAGTGCTGCTGTTGTCACACAGAGTGATGGCTTCATAAAGAAATTGGAGCACGCATCAATAACTGGGCCTCTACCCTTCAAACAGAACTGTTTGCCATACTCCTTGCACTCAAATGTGTCCATGTATCTAAGGTTGACACTTTAATTGTAACTGATTCTCTGTCATCCATAAATGCTCTCAACTCATTAAGTATAAATTGTGGCATGCTTTTGTCAGAAGCCAGACATAGATATGTAAGTTGTGGACAGTGGAGTCAGAGTGCACATGCTGTGGATTCCATCTCACATTGGTCTTCAGATGCATGATAGAACTGATAAATTGGCTAAGCTGTATGCTTTCAAAGAGGGGGTAGATTACAATCTTGGGTTGTCATTTAGCAGTTTGAGAACAATAATATGAAAAGAACTTCAAATGAACTTTAATTGACTTAAGACTTAGGAGATTGACACAAGTCATTCCATCTATCATCTTCCATCTGCAGGAGGGCCACATGTTTGGTGCTCCAACAAGATAAGTAAACCTTGGATTCACTACTCCCCCGGTCCGGCGGGGTTTTCAAGTATCTTTGGCGGGTTAAATCACCACCCCAAATTTTAGCCCAAAAACAAAATTAAACTTTGCCAGATGGACTTTTGCACACATTGGTCTTTGTACTGATGTGATCAAATTAAGAATTTAGAAACAACTCACTAGAAGTTTTTCAAAAAAGGGGTAAGTATTTTATCCACATGTTATTGCAGACCATTCTGGAGAAATACCGACTTTGCTAGCTGAAATAAAGCATTCCCACATTTTGGCATGTTGTGTGTGGGGGTGTGGTGTTGTGTACTCCCTATTTACTCCCTATTTGTGGTTGCGGGGTCGAGTCATAGCCCCCTGGCCCCCGCCTTTCATGATTGCTACTGGGTCCTCTCCTCCCGCTCCTGAGCTTTATCATACCCCCTTAAAACTATTATGGTTCCCGCCTCCACTATTTTCACTTTCTAGACTATTCCGATTGACTACCTAGACTGAAGAAATTTTTCCTAACACCCCTTTATTCATCTGAGCTTAAACTTCCTTTTGTGCCCTTGTGTATGTGTCCCATCTCGGGAACACCTTTTTTGTCCACCGTGTCTATTCCGCGCATATTTTTTATGTCGTTACATGTCCCCCCTGCCCCTCCTGGCCCCCATGTCGTCGGCCGATTTCCCTCAACCTTTCTTCGTACGACAACCCCCGTCTCTGGGACTAGTCTTGTTGAAAAAACCTTTGCATTTTCCCTCTAATTTTTGAGTGCTTGATAGGTGGGATTCCAAACGGTGCGCATACCCCATATGGGCCTGACTAAAGGGTATACAGTGTTTTGAACGACTCCTTATTGAGTTCGGAACGCTATCCGTAGGTTTGCCAGGCGCCCGTATGCTGCGCTTTATCTGATTTATGTGCGCCTCACGGAAGTCGGGTTATACTCACCCCCCAGATTTTTTTCCCTTGAGTGAGGTTTTTCATCTTTGGCCATCAAATTATATTGTGTTGGGTCTTCTTTCCCCCTTCCCCAATCTTCATGACTTTGCTTTGGCGGGGTTAAACTCAAGGAGCCTTTTCGGACCGGGCTTTGTAGCCGCCCGGGCTTTTTTGTATCCTGCCTGATCCTCATCCGATTTGATTCTTTCTTAACTTCACATCATCTGCAAAAAAGGGACATTTTCTGGCTATCCCCCCGTTATGTCGTTCACATATACCAAGAACGCACAGGTCCTAGGACTGCCCCCCTGGGGAAACCCCCGTTTGTCACAAGCCCCACTCTGACACCTGTCATACCATGACCGTTGTTGCCCCCCTGTAGGTTTTCCCCTTGACCATTGCAGTGCCTTTCCTTTATGTTGCCGATTTTTAGCTTTTTCAGAAACCCTCTTGTGGGGAAACTGTTCGAAGGCCTTTTTGCAGCCCAAAAAAATGCAGTCGATCCATCCCTCTCTTTTGTCTTACTTCGCCCCTTGTTAAAACTCTAGGGTTTGTGACACAGGATTTTTTCCCTGAAACCATGCGGGTTGTCAATTATACACTTTTTTTTTCCGGGTGCCCACCACTCCCCTCCTGTTTATCTTCTCCATGCCCTTTGCATACTTTACACTTAGTGATAAGGTCTGTTTTTTAGTGCCTCATGTCTGTCTCCTTTTTAAAATTGGGACTACTTTTGCCATCTTATCCCCTCAGGGATTTTGCCCAGTTTAAAATGATGTTTGAAATCTTTGTTAATGGCACAACAATATCCCCTGCCCCCTTTTTGGGGACCCAGGGAGGATGTTGTCTGGTCCCACCCCCTTTTGAGGGTAAGTTCCATAGCGCTTCTTCATTTCCCTCCTTGGTTATATGTACCTCATCCACATTGCGGGTTACCCCCCTTTCTGATTTCCGGGAGTCCTACGGGTTTTTCCACTGTAAATACTTTTTTAAATCTGTTTTGAGTCCTGACATACCCTCGCGTTTCTTGTGAATTCCCCAACCCCCCTTTCCTATCTGATTCCGGGTCCTTGACTTTTTGTTTTCCTCCTGAGGGGCGAAAACACTTCGGGTCAGTCTTGATTTTCGATGCTATGTCATTTTCATTTTGTCGTGAGCCCCCCTTCTTATCTTGCAATTCATTTCGGGCTTTTTCGGTAATCTCTTTATTTTCCTGAGTTCCTGTTTTTTTTCTGTACCTTTTCCTTTCTCTAGAAACCCTGTTTTTGCCCCCCTACATTTTTGGGGGAAACCCAAAGACTCTTTCTGTTTTTCCCATTATTTTTTTTCCCCTTTGGGAAAAAAACTTCCTTCCCCTCCTTGCATTTGTTGCCACTAGTCCATCATTTCTTGTAGGGTTTTCCTGTCTTTTTCCCCTTTCCCCACTGAATGTTTTGAAGGAAGTTCCTCATGCCGAGTTTTTCCCCCTTTTGTATTTTGGGTTTTTTTCCCCCCCTATTCCTGCTACTCTCTCCATTTGGAGCTAAATATGTAGTCGAAGACAGAACCACATGTCCAGCCCCCGGGGGCCTTTTTCATACAAGATATCCTCGATGTCTGAACACTAAAGGGTGAATACAAGGCCCATCTTGCTGGTCATCTTCCCCTCTCCTCGGTGTGCCCTTTTAACATGTTGATGCTGGGTTTTCAAGACTACACCACATTTTGGCTCTCCTTTTTTTGGGAACCCCCATGGGCCCGGGTTTTCCCCATCCATCTCCTTGTTTTGAAATCACCCATAAAATAACTTTGCTCCCCCCACTGTCTCTCCTGGCCACCTCGGCTAGTGTGTCGCCATGGCTCTGTTGCTCTTCGTTTTTCTTCTTTTGGTCTCCTGCGTTCTGTGGGGGGTTTGTACATTACTGAAATTATCACCTTATGTCCCTCAGACGGGATTGTTCTACTAATATCCCTTTCACCCGC